CTATATTAAAAATCTATTAAAACTATATTAAAAATCTATTAAAAATATATAAAAAAGCTATAAAAAATTTATAAAAACTCTATAAAAATATATTAAAACTATATTAAAAAACTTAAAAATCTATAAAAATTATATAAAATAACTATGAAAATTCTATTAAAAATCTATAGAAAGTCTATGAAAATTTTATATTAAAAAACCTTTATAAAACTATAGAAAATCTATAAACAATTTTATAAAAACCACAATAGATCTATAAACATTTTATAGAAAAAAACCTATAAAAATACATTAAATATGCGAATAGAAATTCTATACAATTGTATAGAAAGTGTATATAAATTGAACGATTTTATATAGAAAATCTGTGTATTCTATAAAAAAAAAAAAAAAATGTGGGTGTTAAATTCAACTTTAACTGGCCCCAATTTCAATTGGTTTGCAATGGTCCCAGTTTCAATTGGTAACAATGGCTTTAATCAACTTCTGCAGACTTACAAAATACACTATGAGTTCATATACAAACCATAATTTCTTTAATTAAAAACACCAACAAACATCATACGATAGGGACATTACTTCCCATGGGTCTCATTTACTAGCATACCCCTTTTTATATTATCATTTTGCTAATGTCTTACTGCTAAACATATTGTACCTCAAAATCAAGGCTATTCTAGAGTTCTTTGCTTTTACAGTCCGGTTTAAATAAGCATTTTTTTCGTAATGTAGTCCTATTATAAGAGTTATTATATAAAACAATATTCAAGAACCATTTGTGTTACAGGCTGTCTCTTATACACATCTAGATGTGTATAAGAGACAGCCAGTACCCTGGGGTAGCACCCCCTTCCCCTGCTTGTCTTTAAAGATGTACTGGGTTTTTCAATATGCACAAACTTGCATGGTGTCCGATGGTACCAAGCTAAATTAGTATGAATTATGCCGTTGAACAAATCTAGTTTGAAATATTAAATCACTGTGACTTGTACTAACATTTCTCGGAGTTTCACTCTTGCTGAAAGATATAACAAACAAAATCTTTAAAAAGAATAATAATGGTAAACTTATACAGTATATAGAGCGCATATTATAGAAACTGCTATTAAATGTATTACATCCCCTTATTATTGTATTAAAATAGGAGTAATATACATATATGTAGCTATTGACAGACTAGTACAGTAGTTACTTCTTTTTTAATCAAAAGAAAATTATTATTTTGTTTTTTTTTAGTTTTCAAAACAGCTTAGCCTACATTACAATTTCAATATCTCTTAAGGCCTATAATAGGCCTAATATATACACATTTGATTGATTTGATTAAACCCTTTAGTAAGTCAGGTAATTTTCTGTCCTTCACAGATACGTCTTCAAACAAACATTAATGCTTTCCTACTACAATGATTGAGTTGACTGGATTGAGTTTTCACTTACAGTAGTTACCGAGACTTGAGTATCCTGAAATAAAGTCACCATTTATGTTGTTAGTATAGGCCTTTTGATTACATTAACTTTCTCCAAATAATGATACAATTCTTTTTTTACCCCCCCCCCCCCCCACCACGGTTAACCGTAAACCGATTATTTAATAAAGCACTATAGAATGTCAGGTAATTTTCTGTTCATTCACAGATACGTCTTTAAACAAACATTAATGGTTTCAACTACAAATTTGAGTTGAGCGGATTGAGTTTTCACTTAATTACAGTAGTAACTGAGACTTGAGTATCCTGAAATAAAATCACCACTTATGTTAATATAGGCCTAGATTTGATACATTAACTTTCTGCAAATAATGATACAATTCTTTATACCACCCCCTCCCCGGTTAACCCTAAACAAATTATTTTATTAAAGCATCGCATGGACGTAGATTAGTGAGGACACGTCCCAAATGCAATTTACCACTCTTCTTATGGCATGCTGGGTCACTATGGGGCAATTAACTTACAGCTTGGCTAGGCCAAAAAAAGGTCCATGTTCTATGCCTAGCCCTATATCCTCAATGGCCTAGAGAACCTCAGTTCTGTCTGTCTCTGTACGGCGGCTAGGCTAGTATTACCAGTACAGCTAGCTTAGGCTGGGCCAGGCCTCTTCATTCAAGCCTTCATCTAAATACTCTAGGCCTAGGAGGCGGCTAGCGGTCTGCTAGAGTAGTAAACTAACTAAATAATAAAACAAAACCAACTCTTACCAATTGATAGTGAATACAGTACTGCTAAAATACTTCCAAGGAGTATGTTTATAATTGCCTAACATCATGAAAGTCCAGAGAAAAATTCAAAATACTACCGCTTCCGTTGGCTCTACATGAAGTGACAATTCAAATCAGCTGATTTGACTTGATGAAGTGACCAATCAGATTTGTGCAATTCGACACTAACATTAATTGGTTGGTAGGTGGGCTATCACAGTAAACAGGTTAGGCTGTTGGTGAATAGGTGAGGGATAAGTTTAGGGGACTACAGACCCGCTCCCCCCCCCCTCTCCCCCCCCCCCATAAAGTTGCCATAAGGCTACCAATGTATTAGCGGTTCCAGAAATTTTTCTATAGAGAAACAATTTTACAAATTATAAACGTTTCCATAGAGTTTTTATATATATTTTATATATATTTTCTATAGACTATTAAAAGTTACAGTTTTTAAAATGATTGTGTTTAGAATATTATACAGTTCTGCAGAATATACTAAAAATAAATAAATTTATATTGAAATTTCATATATGTTATTACTCTATATAGATTTTATATGTTCCTATAGAGATAATCCCTATAAAATTGTTATAATACATTTTAAATAATACAGG